CCCCCCCCCCCCCCCCCTCCCCCCCCAAATGACCCCGATTTTCGATTAGTAGGCCTATGTGTCTTGAATTTTGTTTGGCACAGACCCTTGCCCCCCCCCTGAAGAATCAATTGGTTGAGGAGTTGAGGGCGCGAGGATATGTAGTCTCTGTTCACCAACAGCAGCAGCGGCAGTGTTCTATGCGGTTAGCAAAGCGTACGTTTGTTGCCCACGTACATCGCTTGACGAGGGCATGGCGCTTGGGGTTTTACAAGCGTCTGGCTTGGTTTGCCGTGTACAATATTCTATATCCGTCTGCTGTGGGGCCTCACGGGGGCCTGTTTACAAGTTTACGCACCATACCAACACACCTTCTTCGGTGTTGCACCCCATGGAAACAGCAGTGGAATTTGTGTTCTATGACAACGAAAGCGCAAGCACAGCAGCAGTGCCGTAGACAAACCCTTGTACCGTACCGTGGGAGACATGATGTAAGATACCACCCCCTGGACCGATTCTCCAAGCTCGAGTGCTCCACGACGAAGAAGATGCATCGAAAGCTCTCCACGAGACGGCTCCCACACCGCTCCTTTCGGCACCGCTGCTGCTGTTCAAGTACTGCCGTGTCCTGAGGAGCAATCGAGCTTTCAAAATTGCTCCAAAAGGCGTGTGGTATCTCGTGTCACCTATGCATAGGGTGTTCTACGATTGTGAATCGGGGATTTGAGTTTTTTTGTTGCTTTGGAGCAGCTCACGCTGCAGCAGCAATGTTGACCCAAGGTTTCTAGCACAAGCAGGTGCATAAAAAAAAAAAAAATGCGATATATGGTGTCTAAGGTGTACAGCAGTCTTCTGTATATACCCGGCTTCCGTACGCCAGCGTTCCAGCAAAGTCTGGCCAGAGGCCCTGTGAGGAAAATAATATGGGTATGTAGGTATGCATATGTTGCTGAGTTACGTTGTGAGCCGCCGCTATTTACCTATTACTACTCGCGTTTAAGACAGGCAGGCAGACTGCAGGGTCAATATCTAGGAGGGCTCTTCAGATGCATTCCATGACGAGATGATGAGCGATCCATGATATGGTGGTGTCATCGAATTTTCTATAAATTGACTACTGCTGTAGCGATTGGATTGGCATAGAGTTGGATAGATTATTTTCTGTGTGCGACGTGCCATATGACCTATTTTTGTCATGTAGATAAGCGTATGGCGTGGACACTTACACTTGTACCGACGGTGACAGCTCTCGAAAGTTCACCACCTTAAGAGCTTTCCCACAAGCAACCGATCGGGATGGTGCAGCAACCTTGGAGTTGAAAGCAATCTATTACCAGTATCACGGCGTAGAAACTACTGCAGACAGCGCCAGCACTTACTCGGCAGCTAAGAGCTTAACAACATGTTGAAAGCTTCATCAAGCATAAGAACTCGAGCGCCATCCTTGGTCTCGGTTAAAAACCCCTTCACTAAGACCTACTTGTATAGAGACAGACCAATTGGTAACCCATAAGGGGAAACAAAAACCCCGCCTCGCCCAGAGCTGAAGGATCGTAAGTGCTCACGAGAGCTCTTCCAGCTTTTTTCGCTTTCACCCGCAAATTCTGTAAATTTTTCGCCCCGTGGGGATTCGAACGAACTCACGACCTGTGCGACTAGCGGTTTCGAGGTTGCCACTAGACCACCGGGGCGACCGTAACACCACTAATACTCTACTAAGCACAAAATCCTTCACGGCAACCTTGCGTGCAGGCGTGATTTTCCGTGGGATTCAAGCGCCAGGAGAAGGTCCGTCTTGATTGTCCAGCGACGCCGATCGAACGAGGTGCGAGCGGGGGCCATCGATCTGCCTGTCTGGCAGTCGCATTCTTACGCCTCTCTTCAGGGAGGCTCAAGAGCTATAGGAGAGAGGCCCACCCGTTCGCCCTTCTTCTTCGTCTTCTCCTTCGCCATCGCCCCTCGAAACAATTATTCCCAGTAGGATTATTTGTGTTTATAATTTGAGGACCGCATGTCTAAAACACATGGGGGCGCATGCTCCCGTCAGCAACCCAAGCGGGGGGAAAGAGGACCGCTGATTGGCCGCTGCCCGGTTCAGTCCACGGCTCGCGTGGTCGGGCTATTCTGTCAGCTGGCGCTGCTGTTCGCAATAGCAGCTGTTCGGGTAGTTGGTGAAGGTGGACAAATGGACGGGACGCTCATGTTTCTTCATGTCTGGAAGTGTGGGGGGACGACGCTGCGAAGGCTCATGTGCGACTGGGCCAACAGTGAGGGTCTTCCTTGTGCAACCGTCGCGGGCTGCGGCCATCTTTCTCTCAAGGTGCGTGGGAAGCGCTTGCATTGGCGGTGGTGGATGTTGTGATGTGACAGAGAAGGTGCCACGGTTGAGTGATTTTTTTCGCGTTTATTGTCGAATTAGCTAGCCGTGCTTGGAGTGCCGGCGGGCGCAATGTTAGAATTAGGTTAGCCTCGCTGTGTTTGCTCTCCACTTTACGGATAACCGACCGCCTGGCTGTCTCCGGCTGCCGACAAGTCGGCCGTAATACTTTTGTGGCATCTGGTTTGTCGATGCCGTCCGCCGTGGGTGCGTGGATCGCTGACGGTCTCTGCCAGCGGCTCATCATTGCCCATGTTTGACCTTCCTCTTCGTCTTCCAAAGTTGCTCAACAAACGTGTCCTCCTCGTAGGTACTAACACGGTATCCACAAAGTAGAGCGGCAGCAGGTACGGATTGCGTCCTCTGACGATGTTTGGTCATCGGGTCGTTGGTGTAGACTATCCCCCAAATGTGGAGTCATTTCATAGACCCCGAGAACGTGCTTGCATATTCTTACCACAACACATCGGTTGCCCAACGATGGTACCCTGGTATTTTCATTGTATCTATGTAATCGTCTTCGTACGCCACACCGGACGGTGGAGAAAGGCGGCAGAATGTACGGTTTATTGAACCACGCTTTCATTGCATGCCGTGCCATTGCATGTGTTCCACCACCGCGACAGGAGCGAAAGGTTTGCCTGCTGAACTACAAGCTAATCTTCCCCGAGCAACAGGGCGAGTTCATCGCCAGGCAGAAGGTGCTCGCTGGACACTTTCGATGGGGTGAGTCACGAGTCACGTCTGCGTGCCACACGGTTACGAGAACCTTGTTCGCGAGCGGTAAATACGAACGAGAGAGGACGCGCCGGTTTTGTCGTAGGGGCAGGAATCACTCAAGGTGCACGTGAGGCGATCGGACTCAGGCGGGGGTTTCGAAGAATCAGCAGTGTACTTCTTTGTTTGTGTTTCTCCCATCATTGGACTCTGTCGTCTGCCCCTTTGGCCCCTATCCTCCACTTCTACTAGCTAGACGACCCACAGGGGTCACACAGGAGGGGGGGGTTGGACCCCCTCCTGCGGTTCCTGCCTGAGATATTTTTCTAGCGAGGTGGGTACAGCAATCCCTTCCCTCGCGACGTACGAAGTCGATTAATTATGGTATACTAACAACGAGCTTGGCAGCGCGTCGCTTTCATCCTAGACCAGGATTTATTTAGTGAGAAAAAACTCACTCTGTCGGGACTCGAACCCATGACCTGGCCCTTAGCAGGCTGCGAGGGTACCCACTAGACCACCGGGGCGACCGGTGTACTGTACGCTAGTGAATTTTGGGCTCGGTTGACCAGGCAGCATGTGGGAAGACGCACCAGAGCAGCAAGAAAGCTGCAGTACGCCCTTCCGACAACGCTGCATACAGCAGTACCATGCGGTACAGCTATATAACTGTTACTTTTTTATTGTTTATCCTTCGGTCTCCTTTGTCGACTCGGCTATTCCCATTACTTCACACCTTTTCAGTTCAGCATTACCGGCCCTGTTTAGGAAAGTACTTCAGTAATTGATTAGGGGGACGCTGAGATTTTCCAAAAACGAAGAAAATATTGAGGGTATGGAAGGGTAGAGTTCCAAATGTACCACGAGTGGTGAGCCTCCCTACCATATAGTGCTCTACCCGATTCGCCCCACGTCGGAATTGTCACGCTGAGGCTAATTTATGGTGGTTTATTACACAGTTTATCGGGCCGATACTGCTCATTCTTTCAACCCCTGTTTTTTTGCGTTTTGAACGTGTGTTTCTATCGTCACAGAAACTACCGATTAGGGTGTTGTACAGTACCCGCAGTCAGGAGCTACGCTAGGCGTTGCAGCACGAACCAGACAGGCACACACAACCTCCCAACAATCCTTCCCGGCCCCACCTCAACGCCCCCTTCCCTTCCCCCGTTGTGTTGTGCTGTGCTGTGCTGTGCAACAAAAACAACACGACGATGTTTTTTTTGCTGTTGCATGTTGTCAGGTTTTCAGGTGTACGCTGCAGAGCCGCATTGGCTCGTCACGACGCTCCGCAACCCGCTCGAGCTCTTCGTCTCCGGCGAGCAGTATCTCAACCGTGCAACGACGGCCACGCTCAGCAAAGCCGTGCAGGTGGTCGAGAGAGCCATGCGGAAGTCTCTCGAGACCCCGACGCAGCCGCCCGGTTACTTGCACCGGCTGGTGGGACGCAGCGTCGTGACCAACGCGGAAATCCGCGAGGCGACGGTGGAAGGGGCGAGAAATCTCAAGACTTTCTGGCTGGTGGGCGTGGTAGAGCAATACGGTGGCTTTGTGGCGGTGCTTCGGGCCCTTCTCGACCCCGACGGGCTCCACGATGACCTGTGGAGACCGCAGCTGGAGGAGCACAAGCTGAACGCCTCGCCCGTGCAGTCGTCGAACGTCCTGGCGAGTCTGGACCCGCAGCTGGTGAAGCAGTTCAACTCGACGCTGAGCTATCAGTGGTTGATGTACGGCCACGCGGTGCGCTTGTTCAGGGCCAGGTGTCAGGAAGTGTTGCCCGAATATCAACACTGGGAGTTCTGCAGCGTACAGCAACCCCCCGTGGAATACACCAGTTGAGGAGTGAGTGTTGGGATCTTTGGTTTCCAGGTTTTGCGCATTTTCTTAGTAGATGTCGCCCTAGATTAGCGCCACGTTGTTGCTGTCCATCGATGTGTCCATCGATGCTTTATTGCTCCAACGGGCGCTCTGTGTAAAATATGTTCCTGTCTCATGTGCTCTCCTCGTAGAGCTTGCCGTTATTCCTTCATTCATCCAGATTATTGTAATGTTCGGTTATATGTTGTCAGTCAAGCCAGGGGTTAATGTGCTCTTCACCCACGTCCACCTGTTTTGCATGTGGTACCAACTGTTGCTGTAGGGAGTTTTGCTGTTGCTGTTATGCTGTTGTTCTTGTTGTTGCTGCTGCTGCTGCTGCTGCTGGGCCAAATTCGTTGGTAACTGAAAGTGATGTGTATCGAAAGGTTTTTGAGTGTGGCTGCTGTGGCTGTTGTGACCGGCGTTCACTATGGTGTAGCGTCGAGCATCTATTACCTCATCGTTGCGTTGATCGCACGTTAGAGAGGCTCTTGTAACGCGCTCCCGACGTGTCTGCGGTGTTGATGTTAAAAATCGTCCGTCCGTGAAAAACTGAATCTTGGTAACTCTGTTGGCGGTTGAACTCGACGTACACTGTTGCTTATGAAGTAGAAACAGTGGGTGGTATGAAATATTAAAATATGAAGAGTTCTCAAGGAATACGGAAGCCAAGGAGTGGGTGGCGGCTGATGATGTATGTTTTCTTCCCTGCCGAGGGGTCTCCGACAGGAGTTGTCCCCACGAGGGGGGGAGGGGGGGGG